ATAGATACACAGATGTATCACAAAAGAACCAAAAGAATTCCTATCTACCCGGTGCTACATATCAGAGCCAACCGAACAAAAAGGACGAAGCCACGCTTCGCAAAAGACCTCCAGCAAAACTACTCTGCAATGCCTCATAGAGCATCATAAAACAGCAGAAGGGTGAGAAACATTATCATAACAAACAATGCATATAAAATATATATCTATATACACCAACTTAGAATACACATACCACATTTCTCACCGCAATACATCACAATTCAATCATATACATATCGCAACACATATATAATTCACCAAACATATCCATCACACAAACGTTCACCACTAAACATATACAATTATGTTCATTACACCGATATATCATATGAAGATAATAATGCCCTCATAGAGACCGACTCACGACTCTATGCAGATGCAAATGCGGTACCGACTCATTCAGCAGGTTCAATTGAAGAACCAAATGGAACCATCGCTCGTTGCCGAAGTAACTCCCCGTCGGGCTTACGATGTTCACCCATCGCTCACACCCCACATGGGAACACGATGTTTCAGGATTGCTCACACCCCACAAGGGCACACAATCGTTCTGCAGATTCTCCATGAAATCAAATTAAACTATCGCTCACACCCCACAAGGGCACACGATGTTTCTGCAGATCCTCCTATGGATCAAAGACAAACCATCGCTCACACCCCACAAGGGAACACGAGGTTTCTGCAGATCCTACGCGGGATCAGACACACAAGAATGCAATCATGATGCTTCACAAACAAAACGACTCCATACATTCTTGAAATGCGTACATATACACTAATATATAATCATGCATTTTCAATCAATTCAAACAATTGCACAAAATTGCCAAACGGCCATATTTCACACTTCACGATTCACAATCTATGATTCACGCCATACGGCTACCCACATCATTCCATATCACACACACAACTATGCATAATAAGAAGGATTAATCATACTTGAATCGAAGAATCGACATGGAAGTGAAAACACAAGAAAATAACATCCTGCTACGCTCGCTATCCTGTTCGCGTAGCGAACTCCTAGTGAGTACTCGCTACCTGTTCGCCTAGCGAACAAGCTCGCGAAGGCAAACAAAAGCCTCTGACTTGATTCGCTACCCCACTCGCTCAGCGAAGGCCTGGCGAATGCTCGCCACCCCTTCGCTTCCAGCGAAGAACACCAAAAACCATTATGCCCAAGTCTGGGACCGTTTGCTACTGGCTCGCCCCAGCGAATGCTTGCGACCTGCTCGCCTAGCGAACGTGCTAGCGAGGGTCTGCGAACTCATAATACCCACTGTCCAAAACTCCGAAACTCATCGAAATCTACCCGATTCAATCCTTAATCGTCTCAGTAGTCTTAGCCCAACATTCCTCGACTAAACTCTACCACTCATTCTCATTTCTAACCGTAAAAACTCGATTTCTAACGATTAAATCACATTCAACCTAAAACGGAAAATGAGAAAAACTCTCCCCAATCCAAAAGCAAACCAATAGAAACATACATAATCATACACATTGTAAGAATGATAAAGTTTCAAACCCCTACCCGATTAATCAAAGCTTAGAAGTTTGATTCTTGATGATTCTATGTTTTCTCCTCTTCCTCCTCTTTTCTCTTCTCTTTTCTTCTTCTTTCCTTTCTATTTCTTTCTATCTCTTTTCTTTTCTCTCTATTTCCACTTATACTCTTTCTATTCTATTTCTCTCAAACATCAACTAATTAAGGATTATCTAAAACACCCTCTAATTAATTCCCAAAACTCTCTGAAAAATAAAATAACATAATAAACACACATAACATATTAATGTTCAAATTTCACAATTAAAAGAATAATTCAATCAAAATAAATTAAAAGACTCAACAAAAATGAGAAATTCAGAATCGGGGCGTTACATAGCTTGCTGGTACATGTCCAAGTATAGCAACTATAAACCTTTGTAGCCAACTGCTACAAGTGACTTTTGAGGTTTACTTTTCCTTGAATGTCGTGTACAATACGGTTTAGGCTTCGGGCAGAATTAAATAGTGGATAATGATGCCTTTCTATTACATTGTAAGTAGACATCCACAACTTTGTGTAACGTGCAACAGGTATAGCACACTATATGGTGAATGAGAGTGAATATAAGTATACAATATCTTTTCATTTACATGTTAAACAATAGCACACTTAACATTGCACATTAAACTATAATCTTTTCATTTACTTATTTCCTATGCTTTGACTTGGAACTTCGTGTTATATGATGATTTTAATATCTCTTAATAATATTACTCCATTGCTAAAAAGAAGATTATAACACATAACGTTTTAGATTCTGTTGAATTTTGAGCTTCAATTCTCAAATATATCATAACTGGATTGGTTCATCTGTGAAATTACATATACCTTATTAACCCTTCTCATTTTCTTGATCATTTTTAAAACTCTTTGGTGTATACTTTGCACATAAACTTATTTTGAGTTGCTTTTAATTTACTTTCCCTTTCTAATACAACCATTTTATTCAGGTGCTGGATTTGATGATGAGAAGTCCTTACTCATGTCACAAATGAGCCTCGAGAAAAGGTTTGGTTAGTGTGTTGTTCTTGTCGCCTATACACTTATAGAAATTGGTGGCGTTCCTCAGCCTGCAACTCCAGAAACTCTCCTCAAGGAGGCAATTCATGTTATCAGTTGTGGTTATGAAGATAAATCAGAATGGGGAACTGAGGTATAAAACAGAATGACATTAATACGTTACTTTTGATGCTTTCTTTTATTTCCTGTTCATAGTCACTCTCGTTTCATTTTCAGCTTATTACCAACATATTTGTGCATTAAGACCCCAAAATCCAATAAATTTAACTCAGTTTGAAATAGACCGGGTTATCCTTGATGATAATATGGATATGTTACATGAACGCGTGTCTATCTTTTATGATTTGAGTAATACTTGGAATATAACTATGCTGGCTTGAAAAAGAGGTAATATGGAGGGGGTATGGTAAAGCATGAATCAATATTTGTCTTATATTCTACAGATTGGATGGATCTATGGTTCTGTCACAGAAGATATTCTTACTGGATTTAAGATGCATGCCCGCGTTTGGAGATCTATATACTGCGTCTGCATGCCTAAGCTTGCAGCATTTAAAGGTTCAGCTCCCATCAATCTTTCTGATCGTTTGAACCAAGTGCTTCGGTGGGCTTTAGGTTCAGTGGAAATTCTGCTAAGTCGACATTGTCCCATCTGGTATGGTTATAGTGGAAGGCTAAAGTGGCTGGAGAGGTTTGCCTATATAAACACCACAATCTATCCAATCACTTCCATTCCCCTCCTCATGTATTGTACCTTGCCTGCTGTCTGTCTCTTGACTAACAAGTTCATTATTCCACAGGTTTGTGATTTCTTGAACAAAATATAGTATATTGCTTGTTTCTTATAGAGTCTCAATTTGCGATTCCTCTTTTTGCTTGCAGATTAGTAACATTGCAAGTATCTGATTTATATCTCTCTTTCTTTCCATCTTTGCAACTGGTATTCTAGAGATGAGGTGAAGTGGTGTTGGAATTGACGTATGGTGGAGAAATGAACAATTTTGGGTTATTGGTGGTGTTTCAGCTCATCTTTTTGCTGTGTTCCAAGGTTTACTCAAAGTACTTGCAAGAATTGACACAAACTTCACTGTTCCAAGGTTTCACCAAGCATTGGACATTTATCACAGATCTCCCACATTCATGTATGTTTAATGTTCATTGACATCTATCCAAACTGCAAATGCTTATTTCAACCATCATTTATCAATGTCGTTTTGCACATACTCTTTGTTGTTAGGAGTGCATATAAAAATGAGTTGAACAAACTATGGTTCTATTTATGGTGTCCATTACCTGTGAAAGTTATGAAGTTGAAGTTGCTCACAACATACTAGATGAGTATTTTTCCGTAAACGAAACATTATATATCACAAGATGAAAGTAACATTAATAATTAATTTAACACATATTATTGCCATGAATTCGTCACTCATTCATGAATTACGTGTCTTTGAACATTGAAAAATATAGATGGAAAATGATCATTATTCTTCCACAATGGATATGCTACGTTTTGAGCCTACGCAACTTGCTCAATTGATCATTCTAATTAAAGTAGCTCATCGAACAGTCTCGTACTTTGGTGTTTTGAACCATGTTTTCTATCCTCTTTAATTTCCATCTTACACAGATTTTTTCACTTAATTTAATTTCATTCTAGACATGTCCATTATGATGTTAGATGTCTTCAAAATTTAAAGTATGTAAAGTTTACTTGACATGTAGAATTGCATTGCATTGGCTATTTCAATAACAAACACAATTTTAGATTCTCAATCTAAAGTACTACTATCATGCATCGTATTATGGGCAATTCCACGTATGTTGATCTATTTGTATATCGATTTTTATCTCACCCGATTTGTTTCCGAGATAACAAGGGCCGTTACATTTAAAATTAAGTTATAACTCTTTCAATTTCTCAACATATATTTTTGCCTTTATAACTCTAACATTTCTCTACTCATCCATTCATTTATCATCTTCGTAGGTTATATCATCTCCTTCATAGTCATTGAACTTTTATGAAGTTGAATATATTCACTCTTATGCACTGAGTTTTTAGTCATTTTATTTATGACGTTTCTATTTAATTAAGGATCCTTTTATAATGATACAAACAAGTTAGATTGATTTTGGTTATGCATCACGATACTTTTATTGATTATTTTATTACTAACATATTTTTAAAAAAAAATCTTAATTTTATGTAATTTAAGAATTAACTTTCCCGCATGAATGCACGGGTCTTCTACTAGTTTACATGGAAAGAAAGTTCATACATATGGTTAAATACATGGCTTCAATAAACCTGCTACGTCGACCTTTAACTGTTTTTTCTTTCTTCCCAAACCAAAAACCCTCACATCTCAAAACGGCAACGAAATGTTTCGAACGGCGGCGAATCGATTTTTGTGCGGTGCAAGGCACTTCAACGGAAACATTGGACTCCGATTCCGGCGTCCTCTTGCATTGATAACCTCTTCTCGCTTTTCCACTACGGAAAATCCTTTTTCTAATCCACACTCTATCCATGATGCAATTCCCATTTCCACCACCGAAAACCCTAGTTTCAAAGATTCCACTTCTTCAACATCGTCGTCATCATCATCATCATCCGATGAAGATTCACGGCGCGAGAGTTCGAAATCAAGAGCCAAGTACGAGAACGAACATGCTCGCTTGCTTCATGCCTCACTCACTCACGTCGTCAGTACACCGACTCTATTTCTCTTGTTCTTTTTTATTTAATCTTTATTCCATTTTTCTGCATCTTGATTATTCCATTTTTGCAAATTGTGGATTTTCAGATGAAGCTGGGATGGACAGAAGCAGCGTTAATGGCAGGGGCGAAGGATGTTGGTCTTTCTCCTTCTATTGTTGGATCTTTGTCAAGGAAGGAAGCTGCGTTGGTTGAGGTTCATTTCCTTCACTATCTTTTTTTGGTTTAGCTAAAGCAATTATGGAGGTGTAGAATTGATTTTGGAATGATTTTGTGTTTGGTTCTTCTAGATTCTGTCTCTAGAATTGGTTCTAATTGAAGCTAGAATTTCTAGCTTTTGAGTTCAAACAAAATTTTTACAAATTTACTTGTTCAACTTCAACTCAATTTTGCATAAAATTATTCAAACATAAATCACTTTACATTTAACTCACTCTTAACCGGAATCAATTTTGTATAATCAATTCAACTCACGCCTTTATGATATCTTGATTATTTCAGGTGGCTTTTTTCCCTTCGCGCGTCTAATTACTAGATTAAACTTTTTTTATATAAGTTTAGTTCTGATTATTTAATTCAGTCAGTTAAAATATTTGCTGATTAGCTGTTAGTATGATTTGATTAGAGTAGTTGTTAAAGTACAGAGAGATTAGTTTTAGCTGTTGCATGCTTGATTAATTGCTGATTAGCTGTTGTACTATAAATTGCTGATTAGCTGTTATAATAAAGTTAGTTTTCTGATTTAACATTTTTTTGTTAGCATTTTGTTAGATAGTTAGAACTTGGTTAGCAGATAATTTTCCCTTCTCTACACTTATGGTATAAAATGGTTAAGTTGGTTGGCAGTTAATTACCAACCAACTTCACTACAATCTAACTATCTAACCAACTTAACCATCGCCCAAGATGAACCGTTCAGTCTTCTGTCATAGTTAGAAGAAGACTATAGTAGCTCAAATTGCATTATCTCAAATTGTATAAAATGTACTATCAGCCATTTCACAATATTCTATATTATAATAACCTTAAAACATTTTATCTTGTAATCTCAGTTATTAGGCGCAATTATGCAGCAACCCTTCCTCTCTAACCTAATTGGGGAGAAGTTTTTCTCCTAGAGTAATATTTTCTTAGTTAGATATCTCCTTACCCTCTCTCCTCTCGAATTTTTTCTTGTATGTGCAATATCTGTACTCTCTTTAAGTCCCCTATCATTGTAAGATGTGACTTTTGGCCAGCTATAATTTTAGGATTTGTCAATGATGTTTATCAGTTTTTTTCGGTTGCTTTTTTCAGTTGTGAGTTTCTAATGCATGAATTTCCTTCAAATTGATCATGATCAAGTATGAATATTAGTTTAGTGGATTTTGTAAGACTACTCTCTTTCACTCGGTTACTTGTTTTTGTGAGTCAGTCCTTTTGTTCATCATAAAACTTATTTATTTTTTCTTTTTTTTTTTCAGTTTTTCATGGATGACTGCTTACAAAGACTCGTTGATAAAATTGACACTGACGAAACCTTGAAAAAATTGTCACCAAGTGATTGCATCTCTAAGCTTATCAAATTCCGTCTAGAAATGCAAGCTCCTTACGTGTCCATATGGCCTGAAGCTTTAAGTATCCAGGTTTTTGCCTGTCTTTTTTCCCATTTAAAGGCTTACTGTAGGTATTTGTGAATAATAGGTATGAAAGAGTTTCTGGCAAATAACATATTTACAGGCACAGCCAGTAAATGTTCCAACGAGTTTTAAGCAGAGGGCAATGCTTGTGGATGAGATCTGGCATGCTGCTGGCGATAATGCCTCTGACATCGATTGGTATGCCAAGCGCACTGTCCTTGGAGGAATATACTCAACAACAGAGATTTATATGCTGACAGATAGTTCTGCTGGTTAGTTTTTTGGGATACAAGCTTGCTTGGATTATTGCTTGATTAAGTTTTATCCATTATCTAGTAATTTGGTGCCTTTGTAATTATAATAATTTATTTGTGGGTCACCTCCTGGTTGTGTTGGAAAATTCCAGGCATTTGGTTGGATACACAATATCTATAGAGTTCTTTGGACCGGAAGTACGTTTGCGTTGAAAATTGAAAAACGCCTTAACCATTCTTTCTTTTGCTCATGAATTTTATCCCCGTGAATGCTTTGAAGATATTCACAGGATTCTGTTTTCCATTATCTAACAGAAATTTTGAGTTTCAAGACTCATTGTTTTTCTTTTCTGAACTTTAATATATATGAGGATTAATTTGATAAAGTTGAGAAAAAAAAGGAATTTTATTTGTCTATGCCTTGTACCATGGATACTGCAGTGTTTTTGGGGTCTCTTGTGGAATAAATACCATTTTGGGTTGAGAGATGTTTATGGCTCGATGTGGTATAATTGTTACTTGTGAGAACTGTCTCTGATTCTTCTGTGGCTTGTTTTGTGGCAGATTTTCAGGATACATGGGCATTTTTGGATGCTCGAGTGAAAGATGCATTTGATCTGAAGAAAACCATTCAAGAGGTAAGTCCTCAAGTTGATACTGTGATTGGTCCTTCAAGTTTTTGAAATTATAATTATGTAGATTAAAAGGGTGGTGCTTTTAAGTTTTCTCAGCCATTCCGATAATTTTCAGGCACGATATTTAGCAGAAGCTGTCAGTATTGGGCTGGGAAACTCGTTTCAAAGGTTTGTTGGGAAAGTTTATAGGAGATGAATGAATCATGGAGAAAAGATGTGCACGCGGGTTTCATGCCTTTGTCTCTTTAGTTACTATATCAAGATTCAAACAACAGTGTTTTTTTCAAAATAATATTGTAAGCTTGACATATATAATACGTCAAGTAGCGACTATATTTTCAGATTAATTCATTTAAGCTCATAAAAGCTTGTAAGTACCGTTTGAATGTTGTAAATTTTGGGATACAAAATCCAATTATAAATCATAAGAAATGTTTGTAAATAAGAATTTGATTGGATTATAGAGAAAAAGATTTAAATATTTTTGCAAAAAAATATGTATGCTAATCAATTATAAAAACTCAAAAAAAAAAAAAAATCAATTGTAAAAACAACCACAGTTTTTTGTTTGTTTGTTTCACTTTCTATAAATTTCTTACTCTTTTTACTTCTAATGTATAGAGTATTACGGACCACCTTTTTAGTCTTTTCAATTATTTAAACGCTCTAAGATTCACTATGCGAGAACGTTCAAATATTCACCATCTCTTCTTTGATTGATTCCTTCAGTTGATGTGCCCCTGCCCTGCTCTTTGCTGCCCCATCGACTCTCGTATCCTTCCTCCTCAAATATTGTATAGATTTCTGTGAGAACTGCTGTATTCCATTCTGTCTCATCCCAGAACTGCTATTGCATTTTGAATGTTGTCTGCGATGTTTGCCGTTTTGGTGCTTGGCTCTGTCTCATCCCAGAACTGCTGTTGCATTTTGAATGTTGTCTACGTTGTTTGCCGATTCAGTGCTTGGCTAGTGTCATCTTAGTTATCTTTTTCGTATCCCTTTTTGGTGTAGATCCTTTCTTTTCTCAGTATCTTGCTACTTGGTGTGCTTTCTCCCTCCGCTGTTTGGTTTTTTTCTACTTGTTTCATCTACTATGGATAACATAAGAACCATGGATAAAGGTCTACTTGTTGCATCTACCAAGAACCTGTCTGGATATGGTTTATGAGACCCCACCTCTCAACCTGCAAACACCTACGAACTTTGCATATGGGTGAAAGTAGCAAGAATCAGACTCACAGCCTGCAAGAAAAGAGTAATGAATATAAAAAAGATACTAGTAATGAACAAGATACAACTCGAGACCCAGACTTTTTTACAAGCACAATCAACATCCTATATGTAACTATGAGATGCAATTTAAGGGGAGGGGGGAACGAAGGTTGCCTGATTTTTTTGTTGTTCTTGCGTAACAATTTTACACTTATTATTTCGAAAGTCATGATTATGATATGTTCTTAGGATGACTTTAAAATGCACAAAGTAAATTGCATAATGATAAATCACATAAACCGATTATACTAGTTTCCCTTATAATTAAGTGCACATCTAGTCTCTCTACACATTAGAGGATTTTTCACTATGATTAGATCTTTGTACAAGTTTTTACCAAGACTTCCTTACAATCTTCTAATTCATACACATAAAAGAAATAAACCTACTTTTACGATAACAAACACCAAACCTATGGTGAACTTTGAATCACCTCAATTTAAAAGATCTTTTTCACAAACACTTTGAAAAGCAGATGAATTGTTCGAAAGTTGTGATGAAATAAGTGAATTGAAATCTCAAAATTTTCTGATATATATATATATACACCACAAGATGTCTCTTGGATGAGCAGTAATCAAGAGAAAAAATTTATGATGGACTGCAATGTTATGGAAACGTTTCCATGAACATGTGCAATGAAGAAACATCATAATAATTCTGATTTTTGACAATGCTTTAGAAAACAATCAATTGCACTCTTAGATCAATCGATTATTCTATGTGTAACATTAAAAAATTTGACAAAATGTAAATGATCAATCGATTGTTTAAATGAATCAATCGATTATAGGGTTAAAATTTCAAGGCAAGAATGACCGTAAAATTAATTGTCCCCCTTAGAACAATTGATTGTTGCTTCAAATAATTCGAAAATTTGAAAGTCAGGGGAAAACACGAAATCGGTTGTATTATAGGGTCAAAGGGTTGCACCCATTAAGAATATGAAATTTTGCCCTTTTAAAGGTGTTCCTTGAATGAACATTATGCATAAATGATATGTAAACTTTAAATGAGTTTAAATGAAGTGTTGTGAACACCTAAAACTTATACACAATTGAATTGCTTTTGCACCGAAACACATGATTCAATCTCTTGATATCCATAACTTAAACATGATTAATCCTTGACTTGTGATCTTTTTTTTATTTGAATCAATTTATCTTTATCAAAATATTATTCCAATTAAGAGCTTGTCTTCACACTTATAACTAACAACATCATTTTAGCCTATGAAATTTTTCTTACTCTTCATCAAAATAAGAGTAGAAAAAAGGCTACATGGGTCTAAAGATCAAAATAAGAGTAGAAAAAAGGCTACATGGGTCTAAAGTTAGATATGGCTAAAGCTTATGGTAAGATTGAGTAACCTTTATTAAAAGTACCTTAAACTTTATGGGATTCCCTAACAGTATAACTAATACAATTATGAAATGTATTACCTCTGTAGCTTTATCCATTCTCATAAACAATAAATACTTTAATAAGATCATTCATACTAGATGTATTAGACAAGTAGATCCTCTCTCTCACTATCTATTTATTTCATAACAAATTTTTCCCTCAGTCATTTATTCCACCAAAGTAATATATTTTCATTAGACTCATTTTTTATTTTTAAAAAAAATTCCCCCTCAGTCCAAACTTACGATTATGGTGAAAGGTGAATGAGTGACACATTATAAATCTCAACACCAACAATTTTGTGTTTTTTCATTCAAAAAATGGTGTGTTCCCTTAATTTTTTTTAAATTAAAATTAAAAAACTTTTTACCATAGTTGAAAGTAATAATATTGGTGAAATGTCCCTTAGTGTCATGCTAAAAGCGATTTAATAAGGGACATTTCGCCATGCTTGCTTCTTTCAACCGTGGTGAAAAGTGTTACCTGTAGTTACATGTCCCTACTTTATTCAGGGAGATCATCTATATCCGGTTATTTTTTTACTTGTCTTATCGCTTTTATCTTTGATTTAATTTTGATTTGTTGAGTCCTCTTCATGATTGCACTTCTCGGAATCAAGTTTGAAAAAATTCGTTTTTAGCGTGTATAAAACTTTAGTTAGATTTGATCTTGATCATGATGTTCTTTGGTCAATTGCATGTGTTAGTGGAATGAAAACATTATGTGTTTTTGGCTTAAGTTTGACTCAATAAAATCTCAAAGTGCCTTTAAAATTATGAAAAATTAAAATTTTACATGTTTGATTTGAATCATTGAGTTTACACTAAATTTTCTATTATGATCAAATTGGACAGAAGTGAAACCTAGTCATTTGATTCAAATTAATTTTTACACTTGATTTGAATCATTTTCATGGTGACCAATTCTCTTTGATTTGATTCGAATCAAACTTTGTACATGATTCAAATCATTCACTATTTATTTCTATATAAAGAGGTCTTGGAAGATTAGATACGATATGAAATTAAGTTACATTGCAAATGCATACATTCAAAGAACACACGTGAAAAAGAGAAAAATAAAAGAAGTGTTTCTCACACTCATACACTTATAACATATTTCTTTGAATATTTTTGTTAAATGTAACATTTGATTTAAATTTGTGTATCTACTTGTTGAAGCATTTTGTAAACACAAAACATGTTATCTTAACCTTTGGTTAATTTCCTTGAGAGACTAAGTGTAGTCAGAATTCTTAAGAAATCATTGAATGTTAGTCTTTAAGTTATAATTCCTTGAGAGATTAATGTATAGTAAGAATTTCTCAAGAAGTCTTAGACTGTGTGTCTTTGAGTTTGTTGTAATCAGATTGATTATTGGATTAAACCCTTATTGAGAATGCGAAATCACTCAGGCGGATGGACTGAACGTAGTTCCGTTAAAAGCAAACCAGGATAAAAAATACTTGTGTTATTATCTTTATCTCTGTCATTGTTATTTGAGTTATTGGGTTACAAAAAGTTTTTAAATCCAGAAACCTGATTCAAACCCCCATTTCTTATGTTTGTTGCACCTTCAGTGTTCATGATGGGTGTTCAGGGGTGTGAAGTTCTATGTTACCTTTCCTACTCTCTTAAACACGGTCTTGTATTTTATGGTAGAGGTATAATTGCTTTTCCTTTGGTAGTGTGAACAAGTTGGTGATGGACATTTTCCTATGACGGCTGGCGGCGAATTGATGTACAAGTTTCCTTAGCAGATCCTGATAGCCGATGATGGAGGCGTAGGTTAGACCCATATACTATTGTTAGGAGGCGTGCCTGAAAGTTCCAAATAGAGATCTGCACCTCAATGAGTCAGATGCTCCAATGATGGACATATGTGTGTTGATAGAGACGAGTGCTCATATGGGTCACCGCGTCAATCATATGTGGCTAAAGTAGAAGGCTTGAATCCTTCATGGACAGGTGATCCCCATATCTCGTCTGAGGGTGGTTAAGGATCCAACACGTCTATATCTTCTAGAGGATTAGACTCCTGTTGGCGCTGTCTAATGTTGTGAACATCGTCCTCCAGTGTCTGATTTTATCAACGTCATTCATCCATGGCGGCACACATCTTTTCCATGGCATCAACATCACCACTACTGATGATTCCTTTTGGCATAGAGGATGGAGCCCTTTTGCTAACCCTGGATGAGTGTGGTTAGGTGGAGAAGTGAAGGGTAATAATGAGTAAGGTGATGGTGATGAAGAAGGTGTGACCCATGTTAGTTTTATCGAGGGCCCATGGTGGACATCATTGTACTAGTAAAAATGTACAGGTGTGTGTTATCACTTGCAATGGCATGGATGCTCAGAGGCCTTAGTAGGTGTATAAAAAATAATTGAGGTTAAGGCTTGCCTGGATAAGCCATGTACGATGGTGTTTTGTAGTAGTTTAGAGGATCTACTCACGTGAGGTGAGAGGCTATGTGGATGTGTTGAGTTCTTAGATATAAGCGTATGTGCTAGAATTTTT